CCTACATTGCCTGTATGTGTACCCTCATTTACAGAAACCAGTCTCCCCTGTTTCTGTAGTTCTAGCTTAATTTCTGAAGCATTACACTCGTCACAGTGTTTCCAGCTACCAACTATTTTTTCCCAATTCAATTTGCTTATATACCTATGATACTACTACCAGTGAAAATAATAAAATTTCTGACATTATGTTAAAATCTAGGTTCAGTAGATCAAATATGAATTCAAACTGCAAAGCCCACTTGAGAACTACATGACTTACCTGTAGATATCGTGTTTTACACTTGCACGGGTTTTCTGACTGGGATTATAATCTTCAGGTGGCATGTAGATAATTGTCCCTCCTTCTGGTAAAGAGGTTTCACTGCGTGATTGTGACATGGATATGACACGCCATTTTGACATGCCAAAATCTGCAATCTGGAAAGGACAGATAACTTGTTCTGAGAAGAAAAACTGCATTTATCTGCTGACAGCTATTAGAAATTCCTGAAATGTGCCCAAAAGAATGGGTGACTTAAAGTCCTTAAATTGACACGCAAGAAGTATGAGGTTATCCTAGCAACAAGAAACACCAGCTTCAGTCCAGAATGCATTCCAAGGTCATGACACTTGCTATCACTGTAGCACTGCCCTACCCTGTGATTCTTTAAGGAAGGACTCATATACTCTATGGCTATGGAATTTGCTGTGCAAGTGTGTCCCATATGAAGAAAGTCACTTTCTTCGGTCAAAAAAATGTCAAAAACCACCGAGTACTTCCATCTCCCTGGTTGTGAAAAAGCACAATTTAATATAAATCATAATGGCTTGATGTGATTTAGCTTGCAGATAGCCCAACACAGTTGCACTCAGAAAAATTTTAGGGCGCTCCACCCCCAAAACTATGAAATATTCATCTTGAATTAATAAATTTGACATTCTGATATTCTGTCCTGCAAAAAGCTGCTGAATATTTTCTTTACTGTGCAGTCTGGGGCCTTGTCCCTTCCTAGAGCTTACAATACATCTACATAAAGAATTAATTGACATTAGTTTATATTCCCAGATCCACAAGTGAGGGTGCAAGCTATCAGACTAGGTTATGGGCAGAGAAACAAACAGCCAGCAGAATACACTGGCTGGCTGAGCTGCAGAGTGTCTGGCATACAAGGGGAAAGATTAGCAGACAGCTATGAGCTCTGCACTTGTCCAGCATTTGCCTAAGAGCAAAAACATTTTCAACAAAGATGCCTGTGAGAGCATTGTGGCAGCTATGATAACAGATAAGCTTTCTGGAAAGCACACAGTCAAAATCCACAGTAAAAAATAATCTCGTTTCTCTACGACTCACTCTCATCAAGCCTTCCTCACTGTAACTGGTTGTGTTATCTTGCTCATTCAGTAGATCTGGGACAGCCAGCAGCACTGTATGAATGGTGTTACTTTTATTGTATACTTACTTACTTACTTAATTATATGCATATAAAA